AGCTTCCTGTTGCACTTTGGAGATCTTTAGAGGCCTGACCTTAGCCAATCCCGGAGGAGGTTGCAGTCCTTGTTGGCCTCGAGTGTGCCGATTGCTTGGCTTACCATAGCCCTTTCCTTTCCCTGTGCTTGTCGAAGTAGTTGGCCACATTGTGCCACATTTCCGGCATCGGGTACCTTGGTTTGCTGCATGGAGTATAGGCCCCTGCACCATGTCATGATCACTGCACCGATCACGTTCAGGCCTGGAACGTACTTTATGAAGTAGGGATCACGGGCAAAGTGATCAGGTAGTGCAAATTGTCCCCAAGGTGGAAGGGTGTGTAGACAAACCTAAGCAGGATATCCAAGAGGTTGTCCCAGGCGAGCGCTTGCCAGCTACCGTAGGTCTCTTCGGAAGTGAGGAAGGTGTTCAGCTGGATAACTAGCAAAGAACGGTGGTACGTCAGGTTGTCCTTGAGCCGTTCGAGATGTCAAAGTGCAGGCAACAGTAGCGCTAGGGCTTGATGCACTTGCAGGACTTGAGGGGCTGCCTGCTTGATCTCAAATGGCTTGAGCCATGTATGTATGTATGTATGTAATGTAATGTATGTATGTATGTCTGTCTGTCTGTCTGTCTGTATGTATGTATGTATGTATGTATGTCATGTATGTATGTATGTATGTACGTACGTAGGTACGTAGGTACGTATGTACGTATGTATGTATGTAAAGGTATGTAATGGTATGTAATGTTATGTAATGTAATGTAATGTATGTATGTATGTATGTGTGTATGTAATTATGTGTATGTATGTATTTTTTCCTAGAGTGGCTTTTCTCTCTGCTGAGCGATGGCCGTTTTGGCCGCTGCGCTGCCTCTCCGCCAGGTGGATGGGTTAAAAGTAGTCCACTTGCATCTCTGCATCTTGTTCGAGGCTCTCTTCTTCAGCCGTTTCTTGGCTGTGTATTGGGCTCGCCAGTGGAGGCTGGGCAGCGGTAGGTGGTTGTGCCGCTGCTGTGCCAGATTGCTTGGATCCTGCTACCTGGCTGGGTGTCATGGCCTGTGCAGGAGGTTGCCCATCTTCCCTCTCCGTGAGGGGTGTGGCGAAGTGCAAGCGTTTTGGTCTGGGTCCAGTGGTGGACGTATGTATGTATGTATGT